TGCTCGTCGGATACCGTGTCCGCTGCACCCACTCGGGTCAGGAACACTAGTGAAGTGGAGTCGCCAGGGGCGGGGGCCCCCCCCGTGAGGCCCCTTCACGCTCGTGGGGAACTAGGGCTGGGACAGGAGGTTCAGAGCACACGGGAACCGGGGGGGGCGGGGGGGAGATAGAAAAGGCGGGAGTCCTGGCACTGCGGGGCCAGGCCAGCATGTCCACCCGCCGCGGGCACGCCGCCCTCAGGCCCGGAGAAACAGCACCATTTTGCCTGTCTGTGCCCAGCACGTGCCTTCAGGTGTCTGCCTGAGCCCACCCCCTGCCATGTCTCAGCTGAAGGAGGCGCGCCTGGCCCTCTGGGCAGCATGAGCCCCCCTCTCCCCCGCTGGAGCCTTGGAAGGGGACTCGGCACCCTGCGAAGGGGCTGAAGGTGAGCCCAGGCCGCAGGAGGAGCCTGGCAAGGTGTGAAGACACCTGCTCCCTGCTCCCCACCCACCCCCACGCTCCCGTCCTGCCACCCTGGCCCCGCACAGCACACCAAGTGCCTGATGCAGACTCCGGTGCCTCACCCAGGGCCCGACGCGGCCCCCTGGCTGGCCCCCAGGTGGTCCCGGCAGCCTGGTCTCAGCCGCACCCCCGCCTGCTTCGCAGGGCTGGCCAACACTGGCACCTGCGCAGTTTGCAACAAAGAATCCACCTGGCAGCCTGTCCTTGGGAGCCATTCTCCCTCCCGAAGCCCGGCCAGCTGCCCGCGCCGCGCAGAGGGGCCACCAGCCCGGCTCAGCAACGCGAGTCCTTTTGCCAAGCACCTGGCCGCTAGTGGAACCACCTAAACTGGACCGCCGCCTCTCCATCCGCTTATTCCCCCGGCCTGTCGCTTTCTACAGGATACATGCAGTGTCTGTCCCAGACACACCAAAGTGGAACCTGCCAAATGAGTGCCTTTCAGAGGCCGGGGGGAGCAGGAGGGCTGGCGGCCTGGCCTCCCTCCGCCTCTGCGTGGCCCGGAGCCTCAGCCCAGCCCAGGGCCTCCGGGCTGAGGGCCACCGGTGGCCATGGGCACTTTCATCGCGTCCTAAGAGAAGTCGGTGTGGGACTGAGGGAGGATCAGGAATGTAGGGCGAGGGGGAAGCAGGACACAGTGATTGTACGCAATGAAGTGTTTCTCTTGATTTAATTAAATGCAATGTAAGGTTTGGTGCATATATTCCTATTTTCCATTAAATTAACTCTATTTCTAAAGCATATTTTGATTTACCATCAAGAGCAATAAAGCGTTAAATCTTATCTTAAAGGTGTTCTGCGTATCTTTCATTGGAAACTCCACCTGTGATTGTGAACTTTTCGCTTCTACACAGCCCGCTGCGTGGTGGAAAAAAGACCTCTTACCCTCTGAGGCAGCATGGAGGGACCTGGAGAGGTTAGGCTAAGCCAAATAAACCAGGCAGAGAAAGACAAGCATCACATGACCTCACTCATACGTGGAGTCTAATGAACAAAGTAAACTGATGAACAAAATAGATCCAGAGATATGGGAGCAGGGAACAAACTGAGGAGTCTCAGAGTGTGCATATATGCATAACCCACGGACACAGACCACAGGGTGGGGAGGGACACAGACCACAGGGTGGGGAAGGCCTGGGAGGGAAAGGGGGGCATATGTAATACTTTTAACAATGAAAATATATATAAGTAAAACATATATATATATAAATAAAACATATATATATATATATATATATATATATATATATAAAACACATGGTGAGAAGAAAGCTGTGGAAAGGAGTAATGGGGGGAAGGCAGTGGGGTTCAATCCAAACACTTTCTGTGCCATTTTGAGGCCTGATTGCTGACTCCAAGTTCAATGCTTTCGAGTTCACTGAAACTGAAGCATGCATTTACGAAGGAAAGGCTCCGATTCCTATGGCTGCAGCCTGGGGAGGGATCCGAGGCTGGCTGGCTGGGGGTGGCAGAAGGACCAGGACTTCTCAGGGTGGGGGAAGCTGCAGGCCCCGGCACCCATGGCCCTGCAGCCACAGGAGGCCACCCCGTCATCACCGGAAAGAACATGCAGTGCGGCCTCTGGGACTTGGACCACGGGGGGGGGGGGGGGGGGGGGGGG